CGAAAGACACCGTAGATCTTGTGATCAAACCTTGAGCAATAGTGAGTATTTCCACCATATGACGAAACGGCTAGCATTGGTGGTCAAACATCAATCGATTCAGGATCTCGATCAACCACTTAATAATCTCCACAACCCTATATTGATAAATTTTCATTCGTCAAACAAATAGAATATTAAGGTATCATGGAGGGAATACGATCAGCTATTCTTAAACAACCCTATATTATATTGCTATGTTCATCTAGCGCTTTCTATTCTTTAACAGTATCTACCTTGATGTGGAATTAATCATTCATGAATACAATCGGTGAGTTATTCGAATCTATGAAAATTCTCTTCACACAAACTGGAATGTTATTAGTTGATAACATATAATTGGTTTCAGTTCATAAGTATTATTGTATCCAACCGTCTGATTCAGTTATGATCCACATTCCACTCAGTTATTCAAAGAATAAAAACAATACTAATACTTCATTATCAATTGTCGACAAACAATTTTCACAGTACATTTATACTCATATAAGATGACTACTTGATAACAATATACATGTTCCCTTGTTCGTAATGCAACACTGGCTTAGCAATTACCTATGCTTACTGTCCCATCAAAACGCTAAAACGATGTTATGAGAAAATATTAAACCAGTCAGTGAGAACAAACAAGATGAATAAGCAATGAAAAGTGGCTAGCAGTAAAGTCCGAGACAAGTGTTTCATCCTGTTTGGGACTCATCGGATGAATATACCTGCGAACGGTACTGGGTTGTAGTGTTACGCGGAACATCAAATACTATAACATGATCCTATGTCAAAGTCATCCTTTCCATTACCATAAACAATTGATTATTGACCGATAGGAGAAATAGACACACTAACTTAGATGTTAATATCCATTTTGTGTTATGATGACTAGACTATTCCTTGAATTATTCTGAAACCAGAAAAATGCTTTAAAAAATTACATTGATAAGAAACCATTTCAACAGTTGAGACCATGAGTCAATTGAAGCTACGCCAACATGAAAAATGTCAAAGTGCTAGATGACCGTTTCGTCCTACTATGAGGCTACTCAACAGTGCACATCCATCTTTTGTTTACAATTTTACAGAAAGACTAGTTGTATGGTGTATGATATTTACGCTTGTAGATATAAGTATTATGTAGCCGCTATTAGGAGTGGAATGTCTGGCTACGTTCATTCGTCCACAGACACCCGAACTTGTACTTATTATTCATAATACTACCATTATCACGCAATATACATGAATTAATTACCTAATATTAAACTGTTTAAGTGAAGTGTATGATGATTCTAAGGGTTGTATCAAACTGTATAATAATAATAATAATCAACAGTAACTCATAATCATTCCACTTTTAATGGAACGAATCAAAATTCCTCAATCATACGTGTTCTAATAGTCATTAAGTCAATTATATGGATTTCATTTGACCAAATCTGTTCGCATAGAAAATTCGGAATTGTTAACATCGATTAATTCACTTCATGAGAGTAAATTATATAACAAACTGGAATGTTGAAAGTACGGAGTATATGATGAATACTTGCTCCGTAAACTATGAAATTAGATTTCATGTTATATAACATCCATCAGTAAGATATATCTATAATATTTAGGGTATTGATGTTCCTTTGAAGATTCGGACCAGAGTCATCCGGCTTTATAGTTCTTGACGTAACCACTTAGATATTCACACGTCATATAGATTTAAAAAAGACTACTTCCGACCACATAATATTCCATCGTGGTCCTCTTGTTGCTCTAGTTGCTCAAACGTTTAGTCGTATTCACTCTACGCTAAAGATTGGGGAAACACATCATTGGATAATGCTCAAGTATTCTGTATAAATAGGAATTAAGATAAGACAAACATCGTTTGATTAACTAAGAGAACTTTAAATGAGTTGCTTTTCGATTATTCGCTCCGTATTATTTTACATTCTTTTCACCCGGACAATTCTAAAACTTCTCAAATGAGACAAAGTCACTACAGTTTATTCTTCTTTACAAGCTAAATACTTATAAAGGCAGAGATGGATAGTGGCTAGTAGAGGAATCCAGTTTGACACGTGTTTCATCCTATTTGCAACTCGTTAGTTGGGTATAACATCATCTCCGAATTGATGTTCACTATAGGATTCGAACATTGTATCGTTTGTGTTATCCACTTAGCTCCTGTGTTCTGAAAGCCACATGCTTGTGCAAGGGGAATTTGTTTAAATTCACTTTGCAATATTTTACCTCAATCTTCTCGTTGTGGTTAAGGGCTGCAATTTATCAATCTCTTATTAACATATGTGCATCCTATACGGATTGCATCGATATCACCTTAATTCACAAGCATTCTGTACATAGATAGTAAGTGACTAGTAATGAAATCCAGGACACTAGTTTCGTCCTATTTAACACTTATCAACTAGATAGATCTACATTCCAGTGTTCATCTATCAATTCACGACTCACACCAATACCGCACAACCACCCAACTACTAAATCTCTCATCCATAGAAACATTCAAACAAACACTACCTTCTTGTTTCTCTTTATTAGATATTTCTTGAAAATCACCTTCACTTTTTTCCATTTCTCTCTCTATTCAAAAATTAAAAGAAGGATTTTAAAAGAAAAACATCATTGATCATATTGATTGATTTTTCTCTATTTTTTTCTTTATTTTCATTATCGATAAGAAAATTAATATCTACACGTTATACGAAGATAATTGATCCAAATTTGTTTCTCTTAGAGATAAGCTAAACAATGTGGTGTTATATCCCGATGAAGATTAAATTACAGGTAACTTCCGAGGACTATTAATGGAGCAGCTGAATTGGTAGATACACATAGAAGTGGCATAACCTGTGGAGAAAGCTATATTGGGCGCACTACCAGGCAACTGAACCAACGAGTTAGTGAACAACTCCCATCGTGGTTCGGAAAAGATTACGTCAAAAAAATACGCAGCTCGGTTCTATCACACTTGATCGATAGCGGTCATATAGTAGACAGAAACAATAGAATCTGTTTTTTTGTATGTAAACGAAGTATGTTTATATCACAGGGGATGAGATTGGTGTCCTGGACTCAATATGCGTGCAGAGCTAGTCAAGAAGAAGGATCGTTGCAGAATCTAGACTACTCGTACAGGTTTATATGTCATTGGTCCGGTCGATGAACCACTGTTCTCATATTGTTAGTATCGTTAAATCATACATTGAGAGGAGTACAAACCTACAAGTTATAACAACTGATATCCTATCTGTATCAATGGTACTAACTGCAGTTATATTCAAACCAAGAGAGCATCGTTAAAGAATCTTGACTACTTGTACGGGTTTGCGAGTAGTGGGTTCGGTCGATAAATCACTGTTTTCTAATTGCGGTTATCAGTACTTTTACATATTGATAAGTTATCATACACAAGGGCAAAGCCGAATTCCTCAAATACAACACGGAGAAAACCACTCCAATTACGCTTGATGACGAAACTCTGGAAGATGTAGAATCCTTCACATACCTGGGAAGCATCATCGATGAACAAGTAGCATCTGGTGCAGACGTAATGGCGAGGATCGGCAAAGCAAGGGCTGCATTTCTACAATTGAAGAACATGTGGAATTCTAAACAACTTCCAACCAATATCAAAGTACCAAACTTTAATACAAACGTCAAAGCAGTTCTACTGTACTGAGCTTAAACTTGGGGAACTACTACAATCATCACCAAGAAGGTACAAGTATTTATAAATGATTGTTTATGCAAGATACTCAACATCCATTGGCTGGATACCATCAGCAACAGCCTTCTGTGGGAGAGAACAAACCAGCTTCCAGCTGAGGAGGAAATTAGGAAAAGATTATGGAAATGGATAGGACATACATTACGCAAATCACCAAACTGTTTCGCTAGACAAACCCTCACTTAGAATCCTGAAGGGGAAGTGGAAAAGAGGAAGGCTGAAGAACATATTACGTCGAGAAATAGAAATAGATATGAGAAGGATGAATAACAACTGTAAAGAGATGGAAAGGATTGCTTAGAACAGGTTTGGATGGAGAATGCTGGTGAACGGCCTATGCTTCTTTACGAGGATTAACAGGCGTAATTAAGTCAATAAGTATTAATAGGCTACAATACCTACATGTTATAACATATACGCTGAACCAGTGACAAGTATTATTTCAAAACTTAACATATATTAGGTTGAGATGGTGAAGAATATTTGTAGCTCAGGTGGATCATTTTAATGGAGTTTTATTCTCTGAGCTGGATGGTTTGGTTGTGATACTTTCATTGTTCTTCTAAACGATATCGTCAGCACAAACTTCAAGTAGAAATGAAATGTTCGAATTTCTTCAAATGTTCATAATAGTGCACAAACATAGAAACAAAAATGAAACCAATGGGAGATATAACCAAAACAAAGAAGTAAACTATCATAGGTTTAAAATCAACAAGAACTAATCAACATCGAGGTGTACAGGACAATCTGTGAATCACATATGAAGAAATTTGAACACTTCACTTCTATTTGAAATTTGTGCTGCCGATGATGTCATTCAATAAAACGATGAAATCTCCACGATCAAACCATCAAACTCACAGAACAAAACTCCATCAAAATACATAAGATTATCAGTTTAGGGGTTATGGAGGTTGTTAAGTTTTTGATTGAGATCATGAACCGATTGATGTTAGACCACCATTGAAAACCTGGAAGCACTAGATGGCCGTTTCTTCCTATCGTGAGACTCCTCAACAGTGGTCCTGTAGGTTAAGCGTTCACGCGCGAGACTGGGTGCCCTAGCTTCGAATCCCCTGAATGCGCACTGCCGAGAAGTTACACAATAGTACGAAACGGCTGTCCAGTGCTTCCGGGATTTCAATGGTGATCTAACATCAATCGGTTCATAATCGCAATCAAAAAATACATATAAGATTCTTGAATGGTGTTTTTTTTTTCATTTTAGATCCTTTGTAAACCAACTCCATTAGAATCAAATCATCTTCAAGATAAAGAACTTCTAGCTGGTCAAGATTGTTTGCATCCAGTCTCAGATACTGTATTTTTCATATTTACAAAAGGTATATTTGATTATGAACAGATTCAATATGCTTCATTATTAATTGATTGTTATGATTTAGCTGATATAGTTCTATTCAATAAAGTAAATTTCACTTTACAACACTTTCAGCAGAAGGATCTATTGAATCATCTATATCAATTTCGTATCACTGTAGCTATCTCTGATCAAAATGATAATATACCTATAATTAAACAATCCAAATATTATATTAAAATACCAGAACATTTATCAGTGGGTTCATATATTACTGAAATGAAAGCCTATGACTTAGATAAAGGTGAATATGGACAATTAACTTATCAATTAAAATCAATTACATTCAATTATATCGATGATCATGATCATGAGGATGAAGATCCAGATCATTCAAACTATTCAAGACATCCAAAAGAATATGAACAACCATTTGAAATTGATCCATTCAATGGTATCATTACAGTATTACATAATCATTTATTAGATCGTGAACAAATTGAATATTTTTATTTAAATATATTAGCTATAGATAAAAGAAATTTAACGACTCATACACAATTAATTATACAATTAATCGATATTAATGATCATTTACCAATATTATATAATAATAATAATAATAATATCAATATTGATTTTCTTGAAAATCAAAAAATCAATACTTTTATTGATTTTATACATTTAATTGATTTAGATAAAGATTCAAAACATTCAATGATACATTTATTATTAGATAATAATCCATCAATCAATAATCCATAAATCAATAATCCATTAATCAATAACCAATCAATCAATAATCAACTAATCAATAATCCATCGATCGACAGCCAATCAATCGATAATCAATATAATCATTATATTAAAATTATACCTGATAGAAAATTTCATTATAAACAAATCAATCATAATGAATTAATTAATGAATATGAATTAAAAGCAATATTGATTAATCAATTAATTATTGATCGTGAAAAAATCAATAAAATTTTTTATCGAATTATTACATATAATACTAATAATAATATGAATAATATAAAATCAATAAATAGTATCACATATACATTCACTATAAATATATTAGATGAAAATGATAATATACCATTATGTATATATCCTATTTATAATAGTATTATTGGTGATTATGATCCAGATCAAGAACAGGATCTAGATCAAGATCATTCTGATCATGATCCCGATCCAGATCATTCCATAATGATTTATACAGATACACCAATTTATACATTCGTTATACAAATCAAGGGTTATGATCCAGATCATGGCTTAAACGGTACTATATTGTATCAATTAAATCCATTGACTAATGGTAGTCAATATTTTTATTTAAATGAATCTAATGGTAAATTATATACAAATTGGTTCATTGATTCAGCATATGATTCCACAATGATTAATATGGATACGAATCCATCATACGATGCACCTATTGAAGGGATCTATCATATCAAGATATCACTTAAAGATATGGGTATACCATCTTTATCATCAAATGAAACACAATTTTTTATTAAAATTCATTCATTTAATCAATCCATAATCAATAATCAATCGATAATCGATTCGAATCATAAAACAATGAAATTTTGGTTATATAATCATCATCAATTTTTATGGATTTTATTGATTATTTCAATGATATTATTGATTATTATTATAAGTAGTATCATGATATGAATACAATCTTATTGTAAACAAAAATTCAATCATCATATCAATAAAACGGAATGTAATCCAATTATCATATCAACAACAACTAAAAATCATGATCAATCATTAAAGAAACCATATCTAATTAGTTGTTTATCAACCAATAAAAAATATCAATATTCATCGAAAATCGATAATAATCAATCAATTTGGCCGGATACAAATATCATTCATCAATCAATAAATGATCATCTAAATGTCAATACTACTAGTAGTAGTAATACTACTATTGATACTACTTATAATGATCCGTTTGATTACATAAATCATTTACATACAAGTCCAATCTGTTCATTACCTTTCTCATATGACACCGGTAACCATAGCAACGACAATAACACTAATGATTATTATTATTATTATTATTATTATTATTATTATTATTATTATTATTATTATTATTATTATTATAATCAATTGATAGGACAAAAATATACTTCATTAAATACATCAAATCTACCAACTAATCCTTTGAATAGTTCTATGAATGGGACATTGACAAATGATCATCTTAATCATGATGTATATTTACAATCATCATTACATAGAACAATTAGAAATTCTATTGTTTATCCAACAAATACGAACTCATATTTATCACCTATATATGATCATAGTTATTATGATGATCAATGTAAGTGAAAGATGATAGTTAGATGATGGTGGGAGGTAGTTGACAGAAAGCTCTAGACCTGGCTTGGTGCTATTTGATACTCTTCACGAAACCCTGGACCCAGGCACTCAATGTCGAGTCAATTAGACTGGTGGTCACATTGCATCTTGGTCGATAGGATTCGATCTACACTAAGAAGGACTTGACATGAATGACATTGATCACCACCCAATGATCAATCAACTGTAAAAGATGGTAGTTTATACGAATCGGAAGTCAAGAAAATGAGCGAAGTAATTGATTTAAGTGATAAAGATTTAAGAATGATTACAGTATCATAATAGTTGAATTGATGGTTAAATTAAAGTTAGACAGTGGTCTTGAGTGTTGTTAGAGGTATGAGTGAAGTTATTATTTCCTGGATACAGAACGCTGGACTAGTTTTTGCCAACTTGCCTCATTTATGGTGTAGGCGAGATATCCGTCTATCAAACCAAGGACGTGTTTTCTGCACAACAGTTAGTCTCGTTCTACTTCATGGGAGTGAAACATGGCCGGTAAGAGTAGAGAATATTCGTAGGTTACTAGTATTTGATCATAGGTGTCTTCGAAACATTGCTCGTATATCTTTGGACCATCGAGTAAGTAACCCGGTTGTTAGGAAAAGGCTATTACGAGAGGATGGTCAATCAGTTGATGAAGTAGTGGAACTTCATCAGTTGAGATGTCTGGGACATGTGTTATGGATGCCCAACCACCGACAGCCCTGATGTGCGATGTTTTGTGGTGTAGGAGTAAGTTGAAAAAAGCTATGGGCGGCCAAACTAAAACATGGTATAAATCCATGAAGTCACTGACAAATGGACTGATCCATGTTGGCAGGTGTAGACTACCTGGTTGGGACCCGCGTGATGATAAAAATTGATGGTTAGAGACCTTGAATGACATGGCTCAAAATCATTTGCAATGGCACAGGTGCATCCAATCTTTGTGTTCTCCCAAATTTTAATCATCTGAATTCTTCATGTCCCTTCGTTTTTTCTCTTTTTGAAATTCATTTCAATGGATTATACTCCTTGATTAACCTCTTTCAAGCCTAATGTTTCCGATTACTGCTTATACTTTTACTACCACTAGGGGATTTTAATAGACAATTGCATCTCTGTGCTAATTTGGTATGGCAACTGGAACTGATGTACGTACGTATGAAGCTCCACGTTGTTACTGACTGACTGACTGACTGACTGACTGACTGACTGACTGACTGACTGACTGACTGACACCGTGGAAAGGTTCTTCTGGATGTACCTGTAAAGTAAAATCAATGAATTGTATGTTTTTGGTCACTAGGTAATGATCAATATATTATAGTTGTTTAGCCCCCTAGTGCTGACTGATTTCTGACAATTAAGTTACCATGTTGCCAAGATGTCGCCAAATGCAATGGTACGGTCGAGGGTGGAGAGAGTCAGCTCTCCCTCTCCAAACGTTCACACATGGTCACGAGTATACAGTCATTGCCACGGGAGTCCTATTCACTGTCTTCTCACGGCATTACTGTTGTTTACGAAACTGATAGACCAAAAAGCGAATGTTCGGCGCTTTGACGAGGTTGGTGGACATGGAGAACCCACCTCGGGTAGTTGGAATACTCTCATTCTAAACGAATGGTGCACATGAGCTTCAGGATCTTGAGGGGGCGAATAGCGTATGAATCTATTGTTGGCTAACCGTTTACCATGAGACTATATCCGACGTGGCTCCGCTGCCTTGTAGACTAGACCCCTAAGAAAACCACGTGGTTTGGTCTGTGGAAGGATTCAGCTCTCCCACTCGAAATGTTCTCAAATGACCACGCGTATTGTTGGGGAGGTTAGATTCCCAGAACTCACTTGGAAACGGTCCTAATTTTGTAATTTTATCTAGAAAATTTGAATTTCTTTGTTTTCGCGCCAAAAACGCTCTTGTCACCTTCATATCGTATTTCCCACTGGGAAATATCTTAAATGCTATTGGTCTGTTGCGTCTTTTAGTATGCTATTTTATAACGCTTTCTAAGGACGGTTTTGTACTGTATATATACGTTTTGAATTGTGTTTGTTGTTATCACTCCTTTCTAGCTGTTTTGCAGAATATACTTCCCCATTCCAAGCTTGAACTTCTCCCTCTAGTTAGCGAGGCTGTTACGCATCAATAGCTAGCTTACTGGTCTTTGGTCACCGAGTCTTGTTTCTCGTTCGCAGATTAAGTGATAATTTCAACCATATATACCGGCTGACAAGGAATTCCTACTCACTGCCTTCTCACCAAGTGGGTGTTGTTTAAGAATGTCCGACACTTCAACGGAGTTGATGGATATAGTGAATCAATCAAGAGGAGTTGAAAAACCTACATTCCAAACCAATAGTGTACATAGACTCCATGATTCTGAGTAAACAAAAAGTGTAATAATCAATTATTGATTGCCGGCTAATATGTAACTGCATTCCCTGACGTCGTTCCACCACCTTGTAGATTGAACCTTTAATAAACATATCATAACCATATTTAGATATTTAGATATTATCGTTTATTTTTTCTATTTTAGATCAAAATCAACAAAGAAATATGAAATTCTAATGAACATATACCCTATTACATACCCTTTACATCTTGATGGAGTTTTGTTCACTGAGCTGCATGGTTTGACCAAACCTTCCAGCTCAGTGAACGAAACTCCATTAAAGACATCCACCTAAGCTACAAATCTTCTCAACTATCTCAACCCTTTACATCATTGAAATCAATATACTTTTATTTTCAACAAAGATGAACTTAATATTGATCTTCACCTTCATCAGTTTCTCAACTTTGATATTTTATTCTTTACTAATCGAATATGTAACTTCATTGATGTATATAGATCTATATGTATATACATTAGTCTCATCATCAATTCAGGTATCTTTCTAAAAAAAGTATACAACCTTTCATTGTACAATTTACAAATGATCCTTAACAAAATTATCATCATTGCTGATAATATATATGGCAACTTTTGAACTACTTAGATCTAATTGACAACTACTCAACTATTGTTATCATTAGGATCAATAATGATTTCATTGGATATTCATCTATCCTCATACGAACACATATCTGCCTATATTAACTTCAGATTGGATGTTTATGCTTATTGTGAATGTGTTTCTTTTTCTTCTCTTATTACTTAATTAAGTAATACGCTACTTGTAATAAAATGCCATAAATTAATAAACCTTTTGTGCATAATGAAATCAATCATTTAGGGGGGGGGTTGAGGCATGGGGTTCTTGTTGACGATTAATTGTTGATGCATTCATTCATTGTAATTGCTTGTTAATATGAAAATGTAAATTGGAAACTTCACTTATGATTCTGACTTTCTGAATATCTATATGGAACATTTCCAAGAAAGCTCGTATTTCATTGGATAATTGATAATGAATATATATTTTATCAGTTTAGGGGTTGTGGAGATTGTTAAGTTTTTGATTAAGATGTCTTAAAAATATTGCGCCTATCTGCTGAGATCATCAGAGAAGTAACAGCGAGGTTAGATGCAAGGTATTAGGGAATGATGATAAGACAGTTGATGAGGTTGTGAATCTTCATCAACTGAGATGGTTGGGCCACGTGTTACGTATGCCTGAACACCGATTACCACGACGTGCAATGCTCGCTGGTGTTAGAGATGAATGGACGAAAGTTAGAGGCGGTCAAACCAAAATGTGGTATCAGTCCATAACGTCACTAAATTCAAGTCTGATTTATGTTAATACATGCAGACCACTTGGTTGGGAGCCGTGTGACTATCGTAACCAGTAGTGGTTTGAGACTGTGGGTGACATGGCTCAGAATCGATCAAAACGGTGTAGTTGTATACATTCGCTGTCTTCCCTTAAACTTAGAGATTAAAATCACTTCATATCTTTCTTTCTACGTACTAAATCTTTCTTCTTGTACTATATCCTTAGATGCAATCATTACCACTACTGACTTAACTACTCCTATGAATCCGGTGTTCATGTTGTTGAGTTAATGAGTGAGGCATGGCAACTTGGACCAATGCATATATGTGCCTAAACCAACGTTGTAGTTGACTGACTGACTGACTGACCGATCAGTCGATATCATTAGCATACACCATACCATCATCTTGAAATCACTTTTATCTTTCATGATTGATTCAATAGTACACAATGTAGAATTCATTTTGGTTAATAATAAGTCATTTATTTCCATTTATTTAATTCCTTTTATCCTTCTGTTCAATAATAATCAGACAATTTTCTTCTCTTTTTTCGTCTTTCTCTTTGAATTTTTCATACACATGTGGAGTTAAATGAAAGTTGGAGGAGGGAGGTCTTCTTCATCTTCTTCTTTTTGTCGTCGTTGTTGTTGTTGTCGTTGTTTATTTAAAGAATTAAAACTTGACAAGTTTTCGTGTTTTCATAATGAATCCTTAAATACCAATATGTTCAGCATTTTAAATTCACATTAGTGGACTGTAATCATGGATACGTTAATGCACAATGTAGTAAGAATAACCTATTAACTAAGAACCATTTGGATCAGCTAATACTCCTGAAAAGAAATAAGGATTTAATCCTAAGTAAACCTGACAAAGGAGCTGGTGTAGTACTACTTGACCGCCAAGAATATTTGGATAGAACGAAATTAATTCTAGAGGATGATACTAAATTCTCCAAACTTAAAGAAGTTGATAAAACATTGCAAATCGAAAAACAGCTAACAGATGTTGTTAAAATTCTTAAGAATAAGGGGTTAATAACCCAAGATTTATATAATCACATACGTCACATGGGTTCAATCATCCCGCGCTTATATGGACTACCGAAAGTACATAAGCCGGGTTTACCGTTACGACCTATTTTGGATATGTCGGATTCACCATACCACAGAATCGCCAAATGGATGGCGGAAATATTGGAACCGGTTAGAAGGCAAGTATCTAAATTTCCTATTCATGATACTTTTCAATTTATTGATCGTATTAAAAAAGTCAATACTTCCGGAAAACACATGTTATCGCATGACGTTAATTCTTTGTTCACTAACGTACATTTAACCGAAACGATATGTTATATATGTGAGTATAATGATTCCAACAACATAGATCTAGGTTTGCCGACTGAACACTTGGAAGAACTATTGTTACGCTGTACTTTTAATGTCCAGTTTAGTTTCAATAATGAAATATATAGACAGAGGGAATGGGGTCTCCATTGGGTCCGATTTTAGCAGACTGCTTCATGACAAAATTAGAAAACGACCAACTAAGCTCGATGATCAGTCAATTTCACCTATACGTTAGATATATGGACGACACGTTTATCGTTTGTGACAATGATATTGATTTAGAGGATATTTTAAACACCTTTAACTCATGCCACCCTTCTATAGACTTCACGTTAGAAAGGGAAAGGGACCAATCAATTCTTTTTCTCGATGTACGTCTGATGAGAAGGAGTAATGGTTCTTTCAAACGATCAATCTTCAGAAAACAAACATGGAATGGACAGCTAACTAACTTCTATAGCTGGGTTCCGTTAAGTAGAAAGAGAAATCTCATCCACTCTTTTTGTTATCGAATACGTCAGATAAGCAGTACGGAATGCATTAACGAAGAACTTGAATTCCTCAAGAAAACCCTGACGGAGAACGGCTACCCAGAACGGTTCATAGAAAAGAATATGAATAGGAGTAGTTGTGATAAGAAACCTAGTTGCTCCGTTACGAAGAAAAACCTTTATATAAGTCTGGAATTTAAAGGTGATCGAACATCAGAAGTAATCAAAAATCGTCTAACAACAACTATTGGAAGAACACTTAATGCAGCTAAATTGCGAATAAACTTCACGAGTAGGAAATTGTTTTCCGTGTCCATAAAAGACAAGCTTCCGCGTCTGGTCGCCTCTATGTGTATCGACCAGTTCACCTGCTTTGTGGAGCAAGGTACATTGGCCGTAGCAAGCGCTCGCTTCCAACTCGGATACGGGAACATATTCCAGCTTGGTTCTATAAGGGAAAACGAAAGCAGTTAAGAGTTCTATACTTGAACACCTAATCGACTGTAAGCATTCCACCGATCCAAGAAATGAATTTAAGTTTGTTTATATGATTTGTTCAAATCTACCCGGATTTCTTCGCATCCAACTTTTAAAAATAGCCGAAGATCTTACCATTCAGGAGCTTAAACCAGAACTATGCGTACAAAAGAAGTACGTTTTATCGTTATCGTTACCTTGGCCTTAAGTATTTTGATTATCCAATTATTATTATTATTATTATTATTATTATTATTATTATTATTATTATTATTATTATTACTGTATTCTCCCCTTTACTTATATCTTATATTCTCATAGTTCTATTGATGAATACTCATCATATCACCATATTTATTTAGTTTTACACCTCTATTGACCTTTAATTATTATAACAATAAAACATTTTAATCATCTTATTATAATCACTAAATCTATGGTTATTATTATTATTATTCATATTACGTAATCTAATATTATAACCCTTTTTTTAAACTGTGTTCACATTTCCATACGGAATTTGTACTTTTACAAAAATAAAGAATTTTCATAAATAATAAATATACCGGTACAACAAACAACAAAACTTCAGACACAGACACACACACACACACAACTACATAACAAACAGATTTCAAAAGTGTATCAATGTTGACTGTATACTTTCTTGATAATGAATTCATATATTTTCATAGTAAAAATATGAAGGATTCTATCATTCACATGATTCAACATAGAAGATCTTTATCTGGAACGTATGATGATTGAATTATTAAACAAGGAAGTAATTTATATACACCGTTAGATGTCGACCAGCTCAGTGGTCTATAGGTTATAGGCGCTTGAGTGTGAGACCACCATCACTGGATGAACTACTTCTATGAATTCAGAATTCATCATGCTTAGCTTATGATGTATGGCAGCTTGGGCCGATTCATATATATATATATACTTTGTCCTACGTTGTATGCGACTAACTGACTGACTAAACTGAACTTGCAAGTGTGTGCTCAAGTGATAATGAACAAACATTTTGTTACCTTTAATAATTTTGTTATTGATCGTAAACTGTAACATTTTTGTTCGAATACGTTTTAAGCATAAAAATTCGAAGTTATGGGTGAATAATTTTCTATGGAAAAAAATGTTTATCCGTCTTTTTTTTCAATAAATAATTATTTTTTTATTTTTTAAAGGTTGGAGACCAAATTTAGTTACCTAAGAAATGAACTATCTATCATTTTACTAGACATTTGTGATTTTAAATGAATTAAATTAATGCTTAAATCAATATTTCATCACGACTCAGTGATTTAGTGGTTAGGCGCTAGCGCGTGAGATCAATAGGTTCTGGGTACCAATCATTCAGGGACCAGGATCGTGGACGTGCACTATTGAGGAATTACAAAATAGAACGATACAGTCATCCAGTGCTTCAATTGAATCATGATCTTAACTATTGAAATAATTATTAATTTATTTTCATTTAGAAACCAAGAGAAAAAAAGTAAACCAAATTTAGTTACTTAA